ATATATATATATATATATATATATATATATATATATATATATATATATATATATATATATATATATATATATAAATGGAGCAGTTAATGCAGCACATTTACAAGATTTATATGCACAATGCAAAAATCTAATATGTTACTAAAATGTTACATGTTTTAGTATAATTGTTTTGGTTTACAGTGTTTGACAGTATAATTTTAATTGGATCTGATTTTGAGTTGATCCTGAAGGAAACATCTAGAATATTGTTTTTATGTAAGACAGTTATAGATTCTCGTATTCCACGTGCAGCAAGGATTTCCCTCCTCAAACTTTCCCTGATAAAACTCTGTGCCAATCACGCAAGAGCGCCTCTCAGATACCGTCACTCGCTTGCTTCTCATTGGCTGCAGACTGACATTAGGATTCCAGCTGTTTTACCCCATTCCCATCTCCAACTTGAACTTACATACCCATACCGGGGAGGAGGGCCCTCTGAGCGCTCCCGCGATCCTATTGGCGCAGAGCTGGCAGCGAGCCCGGCGGAGGCGGAGAGCGAGAAGTTTTGGAGAACACCCACCTATCCCCCCCTTCTCTCTCTCCCCCCATCACCATCCAGCTGTGAAAGCTTCGTGGATGGACGGAACCGAGCAGTGCAGTCTGGAGCAGACCTGAGCGAGAGCAGGAACCACCGGTCATTCTTGTGCGCAACAGCAGAGGAGGAGGGGGGCACGGAGTGTTCCAGGCTTACAGTGCGCAACGAGGATGCGCAGCAGCATCTCCATGGATCTTTAAGAAGATATAACTGATAAAGAATCAGTGCGCTGGAAACTGTATTGGATGCGACTAAAAGTGTTGGATTCTCTTGTTGAATGAGGGAAAACCAGGCTGTGGATTTATGTTTTTTCTTTTGGAGGGTTTTCTCATCTGCTTTAAGAAGAAGTAAGTTTGCGCGCAGCGTCAATGTTTTAAGGAAGGCTTAATGTTTTTTTTTTAATCCGCATGAGATGTCCATGAGTTGCCGGTGAGGCCCCCTGGAGAGGCATCTTCTCGGAGCGCCGGGGGGGACCGGGGCCTGAGCGCACAGCGTCTGCATCAGCGCAGCGCACCACCTGGAAACTATATACGCTCCGCTTGACGCACAAAACCCACAAGAAGGGAGAGGGTGTCCACTTTTTTAAACCATTCAACACGCTGCTCTCATCTCTTTTTTTTTTCTTAAATCTTTTTTATCGTCTTGCAAATGGAGTTTTTTTCCCCCTCAGGCTGGTGCGGACTTTACTGCTCGAAAAGAAACTGATCATGTGATGACTGAGCGCGCTTTTGGCACATCTACAGAGTCCCTTACAGGTAAATATGGAAACAGAATAAAGCAGCATTCTTTTTGGGAAAATAATGACATTATATCAACTCATGATTAGTGTTATTGTTTGTAAGTCGATGCTGAAGTGTAGAAATGAACAGTTGACTGCGGGCAATCGATGCTTTGTTTCCGCTCAGAAGGAATGCAGCGCAGAACTGTCAGACGCTCAGAAAGCCCTATTCACTGACACTTTGATCTAATCTGAAAAAGCGACTCTTGTCTGGTTTAATTAGTTTTATTTCTAAATAATGCATGGTGGTATTTGGATTTTGCAATGGTTAAAAACATAAAGATGAACCGAGAACAGCAATGCGATGATCTGTCTACTTTTAATTTGGGTCCATGGTTTCTAAACAAATAATTGCTCTTTGTGCTGCTTAACTACTCTGGGCTTTATTTATTTGTTTATTTTTTTGTATAGTCTGATAAAAACTATGCCTGATAAACAACAAAAAAATCTTGGTACAAATTTCATATTTGGATTGGATTCAATATTTCTTAAAATTAATTAAATGTAAGATCTGGAAATACTGCAGTGAATGTACAGATAAATAAATAACAGTCCAAAATCTATGTTTATTTTTCAAATATAGGTAGGTATTGGATGCATTACTGCCATTCAATGTGTTTTAATAATATTTTTTTTTCGTATCTTGTGAAAACTAGATGTTTGTGCACCAGTTGTCAAAATGGTGCAATAACTATTAGGTGTCAGCAGGTGGCAAAATCAATAAATCTCAATAAAATTCAGTCAGCTTTAATAAGGGGGGCAAATCATTTAATGCCTTTTATTGTTTCTTTGCAATCATTTAATTCTTTAGCTCACATTTTGAGCTTAATGGAAATAAAGTGAGGATGAAGTTGGACGAATGTGCAAGAAATCCTAAATAAACACAAGTTGTGGTTTATTGGCTTCAAAGTAAGTTTGGATTTGGAATATTTGTGATGATCTCCAGATATGTTGTCCATTGCAACACATACATCACAGAAATAAGTTTCAATTTTTTAAATTTGGAACATTTAACATACAAACATTAAGTGCTTTTTTTATATATATCCACACTTTAATAAGAAATGGTAGGCCTTCAAGGTTTGTAATTTAAAATTTTTTTTTATTTTTTTTTATTTTTTTTTTTACAAACTATTAAGATGTTTCATGAAGGCTGCCAGCATCTAAGTCAAACCTATCACCCTTCCACTTTGGGCCTAGATTCCTGGCAGATTCCCACTGACACCTGAGAGGTGAGTTAAATGCAGGGGTCGAACTGGACTGTAATGTTCATTTGCATTGAGCAACAAAGTTGATTATCCAATAACTGAGTTAGGAAGTGTGCTAGCCTTTTAGACTTTATAGATAGTTTTTATTCAGTGCAGAAAACCTTTCATACCCACATCCAAACAATTTCCAAAATTTGCTGAATTTACAAACAAATTCTTGACAAAAAAAAAAAAACATATCAGCATTTTGAACGATATCTTTGACACGAAAAATAACAGACAAGTTCCAATCCTGATATTTAAGGGATAGCTGTTTTACTAAGGTAAAGTAAAAAAGGCTGTTAGAATGTAAATCACTTTCCAACAGTAGATTTAAAAATGAAAATGGTTAATAGAAATAAAAATCAAACTATGTTGACTAATGATTGATGCACTCCAAAATAAATGTTTACAGTGTAAGTATGCATGTTTTCCAAATTTACTCAGAAAGTTAACTTTAGTCCTCTAATGCATGAATTATGATAAAATGAATTTTTTTTTACTAATTATGTTTATTCATCATTAGGAATGTAAAACAAGGTTTTAAAACATTTTGG